TGGTGACACTGTAGCACCTAAAGATCCCCATCTGGGCTAGGACCCCACTGTGTGAAGCTCTCTGTGCACCTACCGGACTGCATGATCCCACCTGAAAAGCTGAGACCTTCATTTAAAGATGAAACACAACAAGTGAGTGTAGCAAAGAACAGGGTGGCAGGGGATGGGGAACAGCACCAGGTGGTTTCACAGCGTTACACTGTGATAGCTCTGGCTGAAACATTTAAAGATTTTTCTCCAACCATTATTTTAAAAAAAAGTTCCCCATCGCCCATAACAAACTCCAGCGCCTGGCCTCCCACGATATTTCTCCCCCTGGGAGAACGCGTCCACGTTCTATTGTTTTCAGATAGCAACGTATTTATTTGCCTGCTCCCACCCACCCACCGACTCTCAGTCATCCCTCTGACTGAGCATTCCTCATTCTTTTAGAAACACACCTGACTTATCCCTACAAGGCCCTCCGATGACAGGCTGTTCCCCTACGTAAGCCCCTCCCCCTGGATGCCTGGCAGACATCAAGCTGCAAGGGTATTAGGACCCCAGGGTTTCTTCTGTCCTTCCTGCTAAGGACAGGAGCGAGTCCTGGCGGGAGAAGGCCTATCCAATTACACAGCACACGTGACGTTCCTGAGCTATAATGGGGCAGTTGGGCCTTTCCCATTGTTTAGCCCTCTGCTCTTTGACCCCTCTCTCCTGCCTCCTCCACCTAACAGCCAGTCTCCTGATCACACAAAACAGCTCACGGAATCTGGAACTAACGGCTTCCTCAGGGCTCCAGAGGCTGTCAACGTGCTGCCCCTGATGCTGCTGGGACGACTTGTCCCCAGTGTCTCAACTCTGGGGAGAGTGAGGGTGGGGCTTCTCTTGCTGAAACTCAACAATCACTGCTTAAGGAGCACCTGTCTGACAAAATAGGACTATTCATTTGTTCTCCTGGAAGAGGGTTCTTCACTCTCCTGTCCTCAGGCAGCAGTAAAGATAAACCATCCCTGGTGCTTACAGGTGGAACACAAGTGGCCCCACGAGCTGTACAGTCACTTCCACAAGCAAGGTGGCAATTGGTATTTGTACAGTAAGAGAAAGGGCCCAGTCCAACTCAGGCATGCTGCTGCTACATCACCATCACACACTGAGCTCCTGCCCGCTGCCCCAGTGTATGATGCTATTGCACATACAGTTCAAAGCTGAACTGGCCTTGTTTTGCTGCCATATTGCTATGCAAACTCACATCTAATTAGCTGTCCTCTGAGTCTCTGTTGGCATTATTGCCTTACAGGTTACTCACACCCACTGACTCTGCGTTTTTCATGATATCTGGACAAAAGTCTCACATGTTTTAAAGCTGAATCTCATTTTCTTACATTCCATTCACATTTCTAACCTGTCTGGGTCCCACTGTTTTTGTTCCTCTGACCTGAATGGTGTTTGCAACTTCTGCCAATTTGGTATCATCTGTAAGTTTCATTAACAGGCTATTCATTTCCTCCTCAGCCCATTCATGAAGCTGATGGAGGCACTGACCAGAGCACCAAATGGAATCTGCCTCTGTAGAGGCGGGGAAATAATTTCCTGTTGGTGTTTGCAAACTTTTAGGTTTCACCGCCAGGTAAAACAAGAGTTCACCCTTACAAAAGAGGGATAAGCTGACTGGTCATTGAAGAGATAAACAGAAGTCAAATCTGTATCAGCTGGAAAGGCAGAGGTAAATTACAGGTGAAGAGTAAAAGAGTATTCTATTCAACTCTGCCTACATCTGGCCTTAAGAGAAATCTGCCCAGCAAGGAACTCTTCTTTGTGTATTAGAATGATATAGCAGAATACAATACAGAGAAATGGGCCAAAAACAAGAGAGAAAACCAGTGTAGCTTTTAAAAACAAATCCTATCTTTGTGGTTTCCTTTAAGAGAGAGACAGGAGCACTCTCCCCTCCTAGGAAATACAAAAGATAATGGCTTGTAGAAAACGGTCTTAAGGTCCTCTCTTTAATTAGGGTCAGCTATTCTTTTAAATGTTTTTCAATTATTTAAAATGCTGTTCTGGGGTAAATAGTGAGGAGGGAGGTCAGGATTAATGAGTCTCCTCCTGTTCAAAGGCACCTGCCCAACCACACTTCAAAGTCTCAAGCCATTTACATTAGCTTTCTTATTAAACAAAAGATACTATATATTTCTGACACCACCACGCAGCTAATCCTCACTGATTTGTTATCTTGCCCGGGGTGATACTCAGGAGCCGCACATACCATGTTCTCCAGTGAAGATTTCCATCTTCTGTCATAGCACCTTGAGAGCTGCATCTGCCTCCTCTTTCTTTTCCCATTCATCTCTCCAATGCCAACATTTTTTTGTTAGAATAACGTTTACAAGGTGTCTGGTCTATTATAATATTGTAGTATTAACTGGCTGGCCAGAGGCTCCCTATGTTTGCAGAAGTTTGTCCTGCCAGCTAAAGTTGATGACAGGAGAGAATGAAAATACATCTAACTGCTATTGTGACATGACATTTGGATTCGGAGAAACACTGAAGATGGGACAGATCAGAAAGAGATTCAGAAAAATACTGGCACCACACATCAAATGTCACTGGCACTAGAAGCTACTCCCTTCCCAGCCCTAAGCTCCTGCTGGTCATTTAAAATGTAAAAAAAAACCCTCTTACAGTGAAATGCCAAAATGTAATTCTTTGTTAGTCCACATGCCTAAAGAACAGGTCAGTTTAAGGCTGCAAAGAGTCATCAATATTGTTTGCATTCACAGCCATTTCCACAATACAGCAATTTAGTGATTTGTTCAGTTTCAGTGGTTGAATTTTTAGGAATCTCTAGCAAACTAACTGCAAAAAATTAAAATTTAGAATAAAAATGGTAATATGTATTTTATTGCTGTGTATAAGTGTAAAATACTGGTGAGCTTTTTCAACTAAATTTCTTGATCTCATATTGTTTTGATTCTTTTGCAACATGAAATGTAAATAAAGTTTAGAAGCAAGTCACACTGAATGATGTCAGGCAGCTTAATCCAAAAATGTGTAATCCTTCCTACAAAATATGCATGGTGATTACACTAATTCCTTTATCCTATCCCTGTAGTCTGTTAGTCATACAACAATTCAAGGATCAGCATGTTAATGAAATGATTCACAAAATATATTTCCTTAAATAAAAATGAACACTATAAACTTTTTGCAAGGAGAGCCTTCCCATGAAGCACCATATACCATTCAAACCCTTGTGCAGGACTGGCTTGCAATCTATTCCACAAGAGGGCAATCATATTCCACTATAAAATGTATAGGATGAATATGGCTCAGTTTAGAAGTGACCATTTATTTCCATCTGAACGCAAACTGCTAAATACCTCCCCATTCTGCTGTGTTTGGGAAAAGTGAAACAAATATCTAATTTGAGATGACACTCACTCTCTCTTCAGAATTGAAAATAAATATGTTTACAGAAGCTCAGTGTTTTCTTGTTCCAAGTTTTTGAATAGTTTCAGATTTAATAGTTATCCTCAACCTGAAATACTGAAGGTATTTCACTGCCAGGATACCCAATTACCTCAGATTAGAGAACAAACAAATAATATAGACTGGATATGACATAAGTGATTATTAATACTATGATCGGAGAGGAATGCTAAGATAGAAGATATTTTAGAAACTGAAAGTAAGTCCACTTTTCAAGAGCACAATTAAAATCGTTCCAAGGACAAAAAATATAAATTCATTGTTTTTGTAAGTTTGGTTCAGACAATTTACATTCTCAGTCTAGTGCCTACTGTTCTTATCTTGCTGCCTGAGTGTTCCCCAGGTGAGTGCCATATACTCTGTCATGACACTAGCAATATTTTCCAAGACGTCCTTTTCTGTCTAAGATCAGTGGCCCCTGGCATTATGCCCAGTCCTTGGCTTCCCAAATTCTGAGCTGAAATAAGGCAACCTGCTTATTCAGACACTCAGAAGTGCAGCAAACTATTAGTAGATTTTGGTAAGCAAACAGAGGTGCCATATAATCACTTCTTTTGTAATTGTAGATGATGTAAACAGTTAAATTCTTAATAATTTGCTGAATAATAAATAAATAAAGTTGGATATGTATGCTAATGAAATATATCTGTCAGGTACTGAAAGTGTTCTTTAGGCTGCATTAGAAAGGAGGGATATCCATTCTCTCTTTAGGTTTATACTTGGTGGCCTATTGTTTAGCTACAGGTTGGAAAGATTGTATTCAGAGTGAATCAACGACTCAACAAATCCCTGTCTTCTATGAAGTCCTTTTGTTTGGTAGCTTTCATTGAGGAATCTGCAAAACCTTCTCTGTTCAGGATAACAGATGATGCATTATTGTTTTGAACAACAAAAGATGCTGGAAAGCAATGCCTGTGTGTTGTTTATATGTGATATTCTTCAGTCACAGGAATGAAACTTATTTTAAAAAGTGATTTAGAGAAATTTTCAATCAACTTTATAGAGACTATGAAATTTTACCTACTAAACAAGAGACATTGTGCATTATAAAGCCTTCACTATATAAGGCTCTCTGTCGAGCTTCAACTGGCAGAAGGACTTCAACAATCACATAGAACCACCATTAAATGTGTGATCATAAAACATTCCCTGGTTCCTAGGCAAAGCTAGTCGATGATGGTGGGTTATAGATAGAGCTGGTCAAAATTTTCCACTGAAAAGTTTTTTAAATGAAAAAATGTCTTTTTCCAAACTAAAAATGATCATAAAAAGATTTTTTAAAAAATTCTGGTTTTAAAAACATGTGGAAATTTCAAAAAATTGTTTTTTTTAAACTCCTTTCTCTCATCTAAAATTTTGCCCAAAATTTGTAAACAATGAAAAACTGTTCTGTTTCATATTTAAAATTACCTTGAAATAAATTTTTTTGTGAAACTATGTTTCCTTTCTTTGACCAGTGTTAATTATAAACAAACCCCAGGCCCTTTACATGCTCAGGCAGATGTCGAGAAATGCAGCAACAAAATACTTACTGTTCTGGACTAGCAACTGAAGTCCTTCGCCCTTCCACGGCAATGTTGCTCTTGGGTCTCTTAACAACGTGAGGTCTTGGAGGACGAACCTATTATATATACATACAATGGAGACATTTAATCAAATACTCTAACAAGCATCAAAACAAAAGACACAATCCACATAAAATCTGCAAAAATTGATCCATTGTCAGCTTAGACATTGCTTCCATTCAGAATCCCTCTTGCAAATTTATATATTTCTGTGCCACACTAAAATTATAACTAAATCTGTATTAAACTGAACTATAGTGACCCATATCATTAAAGGACTCTAAAGTAATGTGCGAATTTATATCTAAGTTTAGACATCTGGGCTAAAGGTTAAAATGGTTCAACTTATTTTACTTTTTTAAAGCAGCAATGTCATGTAAATGCTTTTGTCAGTTTGGAATCATATTGAAGATATGAGTAATTGGAAGAGTCAGGTCAATACACTGACTGAAGTGTATTAGTCATGTACTAAAAGTTTATTTCACTTCTGCACGCAGTAGATGAACAAATACTAGATCTTCTGACTGAGCCCCCAGATTGTGTGCTCCATGTAAAGACTTAATTGCTAAAATGAAAATGGGAAAGCCTTGTATTTTGTTGCATATTGTACTAGAGACCAGAGTTCAACTCCAAAACCACACTCGGTTTCTTTGCCTGTTTGTAATAAACTGATTGACTTTCTATAGTAATCGCTTCTGTGTAGGGAAGATAGCACTGAAGAAATGAAGAAGTGAAAATAAAAGTGAAAGCATGAAAAGCATTACCAATTTCCATGATGCCATAAAGAGTTTGGTCCCTTTCATCAGTTTAATAGAACGTATTATTAGGTGTGTTTCCATGAACACTGAAGAGTTACATGTGAATTTTATTCAGTAGCCCTTCAATAACATCTAAAATTTTTCTGCAGTTAGATGACATATTTGATATACAGTTTCTATTAGTCTTATCTGAAGTTACCACTTCATCATCTTCTGATGCTGAGAAACATTGCTTTTTTTGCCCACACAGAACAGGAAATACACAAGCTTCAGATTAGGGAATGGAACAAACACAGGCCCCGATCATGCAAACATTTACACACACGCCTAATTTTTCTCGCATAAGCAGTATTATTGAAGTCAATGTGACTACTTGCATGTGTAAAGCTAAGTGCACACATAAGTGTTTGCAGGGTCAGGGCCACATGGTATAGACACCTTCTCCAATGGGAGTTTTTCATATGTAAGAATTGTTTTCATAACAAACCTCTAAGTTGTTGACTTAACCTAACATCATTTTCAGCAAGAATCTCCAAAGCCCCCAAATAAAGTAAGGAACACAACTAAACTTCTGCCACCCCTAAATTTGCATTTTCTTAATAGCTGCAGTATATAGAAGGCTATTAAAGGTCTACAACCTAAATGCTCTTTGGATGACGGATGAATTTGTTTGCAGTGAGAGATGATGGTCTCTCCTCCCCCATACCCCCACCCTTAGTATGGTTATAGGAACATAAAGTTCTAATTTCCACACCAGGAAAAAGCACTGAATCCTGTGTGTTGGGTTTGCCACACATGAGCATGCATAAGATAATAGCAGAATTATTATCTTTTCAATTTTTGTTTCAAAGGAAATAGCATGCAGCAGAAACGATGGAGAAGTTCAGAGACGGATTGCCGCTATTCATGCAGGGTGGAGGAAGGGCTTATAGGAAGGTCAGATGTTAAGGTCTTAAAGATCAGTCCTCACACAAGACTGTTCCTTTCTACAATAAAGACAACTTAAGAATGTGAATTTATGGCAGGAATGGAAGGATTAAGTTTGTGGCAACTTCCACTGAACTTGCAAGGTGGTGAAACATGGAGAAAAGAACAACAGAGCTAATTAGACAAGCTGAGCTGTCAGAGTGCAGCTGAATGGCTCAGTGCCAACAAACAAAAAGAATGGGCTGGCAATCAGCAGGATCGATGGAGAAGACTGCTTCATTAGGGATGATAAAACAGAGAGAGAGAGGCAAGCAAGAGGGATACAGGGAGAGAGAAAGAGAGAGGGAACGAGAGAAAGGAAGAAAGAAAGCTGTTTAATTAAGCCTGAGCTGGAAGATGATGCATAAAGCTGGCTTGTCATTGTGCTGTGAACACTTTCACCTTTTGGGTGGTACTCAAGGGGGGGGGGGGACAACTTTGGATGGCTCCTCTAGTGTTACCAGCCCAGCAGCATCTGGGGAAAAATGCTAAGAAGGATTTAGAGCACTGTTCTAGGGGGACTGCAGGGGAAAGTCAGGAAACAAGCCAATTCCTTGCTGGATTTGAAGCCGTATATATCCAAGCAGGCTGGGTTAAATGTGTACTGAATGCACAAAAACCTAGAAAATCTGATGGTATGAGGGCGTGTATGAGAAAGAAAGGGTAAATACCTAATGTAGAAGAGTTAAACTTGCATATAATAGTCCCTACTTCACCTTACACATTATTACTCAACACTTTAAGTGCTTTTCTTTAATTGAAAGAAGTTTCATTCCAGCCCACAGGTCCTGCTCACTATAAACAATGGTTCCTTTGTAAGGGTGTCACATTCATTTCCCAAAAGTGAAATATAAAAAGCTTATTTCTTTTTGTTTTCTTACTGTGTTTTTATTTCAAACTGCATCAGTGATGCATGCTACAAACATTCTTACCCTGAAAATGCCATCAACTAGCATCTACATATAAAGCAGTGGTTTTCAACCTTTTTTCATTTTCAGACCCCTAAAAAAATTTAGAATAGAGGTGCAGATCCCTTTGGAAATCTTAGTTAGTCTGTGAACCCCCATGGGTCCTTGAACCACAGGTTGAAACCAACTGTTCTATGGTAACAACCACCTTTTGTGGACCCCTTAGACATAAGTCTGTAGACCCCCAGGGGTCTGCGGACCACAAGTTGGAATAAAACCATTGGGATAAAGCATTCAGTATTTCCTGGCAGCAAGCAAGGGGAGGCAGTGTTGTGTGGTGGTTGGGCCTGGGCACAGAAGTCGGGGTATCTGGAGTCCCCACCTTGGACAAGTCACTTCCTGATACCCACCTTTGCAGCATGCTCTAAGATACAGAGAGGGAAAAGCACTCTGTGCAAAATGTTATTCTTTACGCTAAAAACGTGTGTTTTATCTATTAAAAACAAAACAACAGTATTTATAAACACAATCTATGGATTTAGTAAACTTTAAAGATAAAGATATCAATTATGATATTCCCCCCCAGGCACTTATCACTTAAAGCCACATTATGGAAGCTCTGTATTCTTCTGAGTACATGCAAATACAACGTATAAGTCATACTTGCTGTAGCTATGCATAGTTACTGGAACAAAAGGTCTAGAAATGTACACTTTAAGAACTATTTTAATCATACACATTTGTCTTGATTTTCCTTCTGATGAAGGCAGCATTCCAGTTGCATTTGTTAGCACAGGCTGCTGAATGCAACAGGAGCTTTTATTACTACTTTCTAACCTTTTATTAATCACTTTGGGAGCAAAGACAGTTGACACAAACACATCATACTGAAGACTACTAATGTACTACATCTGAGAGATTAAACAGACTTGGCAAGATCTGCTTTGATGCAATACACTATTCAAACTGAAGCAATACTGTTCAGAAACATTTTGTCCACAGAAGTCTCTGCGTGGCCTGATGGCACACCACCAGCCTAGAGCAGAACAAGAGGAATGTGAAGTGCTACACGGAGCCTCTGGTTTTAGAAAGAATAAGGGGAAAATTTTTTCTCTGTGTACCATATCCTGGAGGGTCTCCAATATCAATTACATTCAAGCAGATGCATAAGCATAGTTAGCACTGCCTTTTATACATGTAGAAGGGACGTGTACAATGCAGAAATCCATAACAATGACTCTTAAGCACCACACCCACAGTTACAAAGGAAAAAAACCACGCCATCTAAATATAAACTTAGGAACATGCACTGAAGGTTAAAAGTGAACCCACACCCAAGTGCACTGGTTAACCTGCTTGCCTGCACATCACAGTGACTAAACATCTTTAGCAAGTTTTAGCAAGACTAGATTTGAAAACTTGCTGAGTTGTTTTTTATATATATATATATATATAAATATGGAAGCAAGTAGAGAAAGCATTTGCCTTCTGATGAAATTATGCTCACTGGGCAGAAATCTTAAATAGAATTAAATACCCTCTGAGTTTGTTGCAAAAACAACTGTCAGTTTGAACTGACACCAACTTATTTCCTTTGGTAAATAACAGTTACTGCCTCAGATCTAGCACAGTCTCCATTTTTAAAGGCATCTGGAATAGTTAATATGCAACAGTATGGCTACAAATCAGTGTTTAAAATAGAAAACTGCTTAGACAACATTTCCTTGCCTAACACAGGTGCTGCACTGATTTCTGTGTAGCTTTTCTGTAAAAGAGGCAGTTGGTCTTACCAAGATGTTGGTGCCTGAAATTTTTTATACTATATACAATCAAATGGATCTCCAGCTAGCATTTTAAATGAGCATTATGCACATTTCTGTACAGGGCACAATGTGGTACTGCCCAGATACAGATTTCCTATTCTTTAGACCTATCCAACTCAACGACTCTGGGAGGAAAAATTTAACAATCAATCCCAATGCATTTACAGCAAGACTTGGGGAAAATAAATAACTTAGTGTCAGATTTTTGCTTCCTTTCATATTTATGAGTTTAGTGCAAGTCTTCAAAAGCTCACTGGCTAAAAACGTATGTCAGCCTAGAAGGATTTTTGGTTTAAATAATCACTACAAGAGTAAAAACAAATGTCACACAAGGGCAGCATCAGCTACCTGTTGAATTGACCTACAGCTGCAGAACTTGCCGAAGAAAAGCAGAATAAAATGCAGGTCCCAAGGTTGTGCCACAGCAAAGAAGGAGGCAGTTTAGGAGCATAATTCCAATGTTGCTTTTTGCACGATTCAACAGTCCAAACTACCAAGATTTAGCAATGCTACTGAGAGCGCGATTCAGGCAGTGTTAAGCTGCAGCAGTGAGGCAAAACTACCAGCTACTCACGGGCCTAGATGAACGCTGTATCTTTGGAGGAGGCGGCCGAGGTGGACGTACTCTTTGCTGCTGTATCAAAGTGGAAACTTAGTAATCAGTACATTAAAATATAATCACCGCACATGAAAATACCTTTGATTTTGTATCAATAGCAGTCCAAATGGACAACAGCATGTGCTTTAACCCCACTCCATACTAACCCCAACTGGTGCAAATACCTTTCAAACACAGGAATACTGTCCTGACCAGTACGCAGAAAGAAATAGTAGAAGAGCTCTGTATTGTTAGGGTGCATGTCTGCCTCCGAGGTGTAAATTATACCAGATGAAGCTCAGCACACAAAGCTCTCTAGATTAGACTGTCCAAAATGTATTATGACTTGAGGATAACCAAGGTGCACAATAACATCATTTCAAGCGCTCTAGATGACGTTTCAGGATAGAAAGTTGGAGAATGATACTATAATTAGCTTTTCTTCCCTAAGATTCCACGAGTGATTTTAGCGCTCACGTAATTCAGGGTATGTCCCTAGAATAAGAGACTGGTGGCACAGCCATAGCGGGCCCAGGCCTTCACAGGGTCCCAGAGTTCAGGCTCCAGCCCCAGTGCCTATATAGCCCCGCAACCCAAATCCCATGAGCCTGAGTCAGTTGACCCAGGCCAGCTGGGGGTGTTGAATTGCTGTGTAGATGTACCCAATGCGACTGAGGCCCCGAACCAGTAATGCACTTAGGCTCAGTAGACCACCTGTTCAAATCAACTGGACTCTTCATGTGCCTGAAGTTGAAGACATGATCGGGGGCTAGGTGCAATACCTAAAGCCAGGAATAGAGTGGACAGGAGCTGTGCAAGCGTTCTATATTTACTTCGGTCATTGCACCTGCAACCCCAACCTACTGCACCAGGTCCTGGGCCTAACTTGGAGCAAAAACTACTGAAGGGCAAGCCTGTGTGAGGTGGACAAATAAGGACTAGGATGGAATCCGTCCAGAGTCATCAGCACTTTTGAATGAAGACATACGTCTCCAGAAGTGAAAGGTCAATGTATTAATTAAAGGTGCCTATTTTGGTCCCCATAATTTTAAATTTTGTGTTGGCCAAGTCCTTGCTGCTGTAACTCTGCTGGAAATACTCCTATTCCGTTGCTTCTGATTACATAGCATAATAATAACCTTCATACAAGCAAGATTTTGTATGCACCCTACTGTTCTGCAGAACTAAGACTCAAGTGAACCAGGTAAGTTGAAACTGAATTAAAAGACCCCAAAAATTCCAAGTGCATTTTAGTGCTGAGGACTTGATAAAAACTAGAGTGGAATGTCCTTCTAGTGATTACTTAAATGCATATGTGCTTGGAGAGAAATGAACAGAAGCCTGCAATGAAGTGAATACAAGAATTTCTATACATGTCTGCTGGGGAGAATAGCAACAATTGTATCACTACCTGAAAAGTACCACACATTCTGCAGACAAGACTTCTGTCAACTGTATGGAGAAAGGATACATACAGGCAGGGGGAGTCAGATTCAAAAATAAAGTCTACTCAGCCAGGTTAGTATATTTCAATGAAGATGAAGTTTCCATCACTCTATCTCAGCAGCAGTTCTCAACTTTCTGCTGGAGTGCCCTTTGCTCTGGACTGCAGATGGACATCTCCTCCCCCCATACTCCCACCCACACACACTGCTCTGACACAGCTCTGCAATCCAGCCCTTTTCTGTCATTCACACTCTTCTGTTCTCTTGCTCCTATCCAATGTATTTAAAAAACACATTTTCCATTTGCTGATTTTTACTTCATTGTTTGCTGCCCCACCCCTTCCCAATCAACAGAAGCCACGGGCTCGGGCTCTGTTAGTGGTTCTGGGGTGCCAGGCAGCATGCACTGTCATGGGTCAATTCCCTACAATGATAAGAGAGAAGTCTGGGCAGGGGAGTTGATGTCAGAGTCCGTCCATGCAAACGCTTCCAATAAAAGTCATCATAGGAACAAAGGGATTCTCACAGTGAGGTGATGGCTCCAGGTTCATGTAGCTTTCTTTCCCTAACCAAAATTTATCATTCCTCTCTTCTACTCCACTCCTCCCTGGGACTAGCCTGGGCTCCAGTCCATCTTCCCTCCCCATCTGCTCTGGCTTGGAATTTCTGCCTTTAATATATTTAACTTCCTTCACAGAGCTTGGGATATTTATTTTTTATTAGGTTGTAGCAGTCTCATACCTTCCGCAATTTATTTTCCTATTCGTATGCACAGCATTTATTACCTTAGTTAGTGAACCTCTGGCTCACCGAAGAGGAGCAGCCCTGTATGATCGCTACAGTATTCTTTTTATATTACTTGCATTGTCTTCTATGCTTACATTTCTGTTTGCCTCCTGCATATATGTTTTGTTTTTTATTTGTGTAGAAAACTTAAATAATAGTACCTGACAGAACTGGCACGATGGAATAGTGATTTAGGAAATCTTAGTGTTTTCCTGATGCCACAGACTGAAGGGTGTTAGGAAGGTCAGTAATTCTATTTACCAGGGCGGTTTTAATTAAAAAAAAATGGCTTAATATTTCTTATCTAACGAAAGAAAAAGTCAGTCAGTAAAATGATATTAGGCAACATTTTCAATAGAAGTTGATGCTACCACTTCTTCAGAATTAGTTCATTTCACCAGCTGCTTTTCTTTACTATAGTCTATTGTGGAAACCGTCTTTGGTTTAGGATCTGAATGGCCTTGCAACAGCAAAATCCAGGCAAGTTTTGGAGAAAACACGGCAAGACTATGGCATCAATAGCATCAGCTGAGGAGCCAGAACCAACAGTTATATTGTTAAATCTTCTGAAAACAGGCAACCCCTTCCGAGAGGGACCGACCACACAGCATCTCAGGATTACCTCCTACCGAGATGATCAATACACTGATCACAGCCATTGCAAAGGCACATACAACTGAACATTACTTGCCCACCTTTATTACTCACTTGGTGATTTTGTCGGAGAGAAGGGGACAGGATTCATTATATTACCCGTATATATATACCCGTCACTTGCTAACAAAGAAAGGCAATAGCAATAAAGCAGGTTTAATTCCTTTTATAAAGGCTATCCCTCCAATCGCGCTGGAGGATGCACCATTACTTGCATGCCTTTTTTCCTTCATGGAGTTATTAACGCACAGTGTATAATCTCCACATACAAATCAGAGAAGCCCAGAGAAGGCTCTGAAAGGAAGTACACAGAGGAATGACAGCATCAGGGATATTCCCTTTCAGCAGGAACTGGAGAAGTTGGTGGATAGTAAATGATTTCATTTTTTTCTTCTTGCCTATTTGCAAAAATAATTTAATTCTTCTGTCTGTCATACATCACTTAGTATTATTTCAGCATTGCCAAGCCTGTTCAACAGTCACTAGTTAGATCTCAAAAAATCATGCAAATAGCTTACAAATTATGAGATTAAAAAAAAAGTAAATGTTGGGGGTTCTTTATTTGTCATCTGGCCTGAGTCACTAGGGTGAACTTGGGTAATGTTTTCAAGCTCTTCTCAGAGTCTCTGAGGGCTAGAATCTTACTTTTTAAAAAACAAAAATGAGATTCTGACCTAAATAATTTGACTACAGGAGCTGGGGTTTTAAGAAAAACACAAATATTGCAAGATTCATGATAAAATCACAAGAGCTGCAACACTTACATACAGAGGTTCCCCACAGTCTGCCTCTTTCTCGCCCTTGCTCTCTGTCTGGGCAATTTACATTGGCTTTTTTAACACCATATTATGCTGAAAGCTCAAATCTAATGTTATGTCCACTATCGTCTGCATTCTCTTTCCAGCATTTCTTTCGTCCTTTAATGTACTTTCCCCTCAACACCAGCATTCATTCACCCTGATGCTTTTCTGCATCTTTTTGTTTCACTCATTACATTCTTTAGCTCCCTTTTCCTATTAATGTTATGCACATGTGCAAATGTTTTGCTAGATCAGGACCTTAAGTCACTGCTGGAAGCCAACCCAGGATGGATTCATCACTGTGTTGCCATTAGATGGCTGTTCATTTGCATTTGGTGGCCACAGCCCAGCTCCCCAGTGGACACATATCATCCTCATTCCAGGTGACACCACTGTTACTAGTTTCAGCAATGAAAGGAAACCCTGAACAGGTTACAGGGATTTTTTTGTCCCTCCCACCTCTGGAGTTGGTAGCTCCAATCAGGGTTGGGGTTCATTGGCAGGTAGAGTGAAGCTGGACTACAGACAGCATAGCACGTAGTGCTACTAACAGGACATGGGGTGTCTGGCCTGGCTATATGTACAGTTGCTTGCAGATGAGCCAACCTCTAACTACTGGGGCTTAAGAGGAAACTTAACCTGGGGACAGGTTATTCCCCTCTGCCTACTGCAAGCTTTCTTGCACTTTGTCTGAATCAGCAGGTACTAGCCTGTATTGATGGCAGGATACTGGCTGAGATGGACCCTGGTCTGATGCAGTATGATAATTCTTATGTTTCTATGAGCAGCAGCACGGATGGACTCCAGAGAAAATCTCAACCAGCTACTCTTTGGTCAAGGATGGGTGCTGTGATGCAGGGCCTTGGGGGAGGGGAGGAAGCTTTGTTCTTTCCCTAGACTACAGAAAGCATTCCATTAGAATGCTCCAAATTGCCTAAGGCTAGAACAAGGCTTGATTTGAGACAAGCCAATGCACATTGTGTGCAAGTATCATTTTTGATCCATGAGATAAGCACAAAATCCATGCAAGTGAACATGAAAATTACCATATATATTGCTGTATAAGCCAAGAGATTCAGGCTGAAATTCAAAGGCCACAGGGGGAGGAAGAGAGGTGTGGCAGGGGAAGGGAAAGAACAAAACACCAAGTCTACACCAAATGAGAAAAGTAGCTTCACAAGCATGCATGACATTTAAGACGCAAACTCTGAAAGCTCACATTTGGCTTATACATGGGGCACTGACTTCTCATTGAAATTAGAGGCCCGTTTATATGCAAGTCAGTATATAAAGTACATGTTATGCTGGAACAAATTTGGGGGATGGGAGGGGGGAGGAAGGGAACACAGAA